TTCTTCGTTTGAGCGTTCTCATCTGGGCCACTAGTGGCAATTTGCTTACCCTCCCGCCCCTTAGCCTTTATCACCGGATAATCTCTCATTTTGTGCCCACTTTTTCCACAACCATCCGTGCTGGTTAGGCACTTACCATGTTGATTCCTTCCACACCGGTGCAAGTAGGCTTAGGTAATGGAGACCCACTACCCTTTTCTTTGTTAAACCTAGGGGTATTGGAAAAATCTTAGCCGAAATATCTTTGTTTGACCCTAGGTCGACCTTGTTCCTCTGACTTTGCATTAGAAAAGTTCCCATCATCCGTCCTAGCTATTTTCGCCTCCCTATTGTTTTCCTTAAGTTTTGACTCCTCAATTTGTTTGGCATAAAGCATAAGACATGAGATATCCATATCACAAACAAGTATTCACGTTCGACATTCTTTTTCTACTACATCGGACACTCCCATCATGAACTTATTCATCCTAGCCCTTGAATCTATCACTAAAATTGGAGTATACTTGGATAGTTGGGTAAATTTCAAAACATACTTATCGATACTCATGCTACCTTGCTTAAGTTTAATGAACTCTGGCATTTTAGCCTCCTTCAACTCAAGGGGAAACAACCTATCAAGAAATACCTTTTTGAACACTTCCCACTCTATGGGACCCGCTCCTACCAGTCTACTCTCCTTCCAAAGATCATACCATATTTGAGAAACACCTTAAAGTTGATAAGAGGCCAACTCCGCTTTCTCTACCGAAGTCACCCCCATGATATCAAGCACTTTATAAATCTCATCTATAAACTCCTTAGGATCCTCTTCCACCTTGGAGCCATAAAACACTAGAAGGTTCATCCTTACAAAATCCCTAACTCTTAAAGTTATGGAATTCACATTAGGGTTCACCGGAACAATCACTTCCCTATTGACTTGAGCCGTCACGACTTGAGCCAAAATTTGGATAGCTGACCTAAACTCCGCATGAGTCAGATTATCCCCTATAGGGTCAATTGGAGCTTGGGGAGGATCTTGAAGAGGAACCTTGTTTTCCACATTGCCTTCCTCATCCCTCCTAGCATTTTCCCTTGTATTAGCCATACCCTAAAACCCATAGGGAAGATTATGAAAAAGACCTAATAGAGCCAAACTTGATGGCACAACTTAGAGAATGAAGAAGTGAAGTTTCCTAAACATCCAATGGCCTCTTATTCATAAATGTGGCGTGCTTCACATTTCTGAACAAGACTCTACTAGATGTGGTTTGAGACAATCCTAGAACCATTCTAAATCTTGTGCTCTGATTACAAAGTTTGTCAAGACCCAAGGCTACACCCTAGATGTAACATGGCGTACTTGACCCCGAAGGGGTCTCATACAAGCCCTTAGCATATCATAACACAAGATAATAGAAAAGTGCGGCAATTTTAAAATATTTTCCATAGAATCAAAGTCTTTATAAAAGCAAAGTGGAAGTCTTACTACACTTGTCTCAAACCATCTAATTCAACTTTGAATTACTCTTGGGTCATGCAACATCCCTCAAAATGAAGTAGGATAAAGGAGAGCCTCACATGTGTCCTGTGCATTAATAACTTGTTAAAATAATGAAGAATTGCCTTTTTAGTCAGTTTTAAAGAGTTTGGAAGTCAAACGTCAAGGGGCGACCAAGACGTTAGGAAACTAGTGTTTTACGTGTTGGTGTGTTCTAGTATGTTGTTCATGTTTTTATGTGTTGTATGGAGTTTAAAATCAGTGGAGGTGACCCTAGTGTCTTAATAAATGATTTTAGGGTCAAAACGTTCAAGTAAGACTCCCCGGGACCACCCTAAGGGTCCCCGAGGAGGACCCCAACCCTTGGCCAAGCAAGCTGCCAAGGCAGCTTGAAGTTATTCTTGGAGAGAGTGGCTCTGCGTCGCGGACCTGTTCCACCAATGGCCAAAAAGTGGCTCCATGTCGCGGAGACACCGCAGACTCTACTGTCTCGAATTTAATTTCCAGAAAACTTGGGGGAACACCTCCGCGTCTCGAACTTGTTTCTCGATGAAATCTGCAAAAATAAAACTTAAGTTGCACTTGTTTAAAAAGGTCAAACTAAAAGAGGGGTAGTTTGGGTACTTTGGGTTATTATTATTTTAAGTGTTTTTAAGTATTTTAAAGGTATTAAAACATTTAAGAGGTGTTTTTGAATTCATTCTTCCAAAATCAAAACCACAAAGTTCTTTCTCTCTCTAAAGTTCTCTCTAGTTCAAGGAACAAAAAGGTGGAGAGCCAGGGTTTCAATTGAGGCTTCCCTTCCACCAAATTTCGTTGAGATTTCATCAATAGAGGTATGGTGGCTCTTCATCTAGGACTCATCTTCATCCTAGAGTCAATTTCAAAGGATTTTACCATGTTTTCAAAAAGTGACTAAAAGGTTGTTTTTGAATTCTATCAAGGGTTCTTGCAAAAAAATGATTTGAAACGTTTAAGTATGGATTAATTGATGTTTGTTTGTGGTTTTTCAATAAAATACTCCATGAACCCCTGTCTTCTACAAAACCCTAAAATTTGCTATGAAGTGGGTCTATTTCTATAAATTCAAAGTTGATGGAATTATTTGTAAAGTGAATGGTATTGATATCTCTTGTGTTGTTTAATGTTTATTTATGATTAATTGTTGATAATGGATGAATTAAGGGTGGTAAGCCTTATGGGTGAAGTATTGGTGATTTTGCCTATGGCTTTGGCTTATGGTGAGAAGGCTTGAACTCTCTTTATTGAATTGATTGTTGTTGGAAGGTCGGATACACCTTTGGTGGAAGTGTTATATCTTATTCTTGTGTGGTATTATTGTGAATTGTAGTCATGAAGGCATTGGTGAAGTTGTTGTATAATGTGGGAATATTGCATTATTGTGAATTGAGGCCACGACGGGCATTATATGAGTGTTATTACATTGTTGTATTATTATACACATATGAGGCTATATGTAAAGTCCTATATGAAGCTATATGTAAAGTTTTTGTGAAGCTATAATGTTAAGATGTTCTAATGGTGTTTATGTGATATTGTATAAAGTGTTATTATGTTAATGTGAAAGCATGCTTCTCTTTAAATGGTCATATGTTGTGATGATGTACTATGATGAGTCTCTATAAGATGATGTTGTAGCTCATATGCTAGACTTGAGTATCTTGTCTTGTGTCATTAAAGCTTGATTATGTATATGAGTATATGAATATTTGGTTGGGCTATGACTTAGTAATGAAGATCTTCCTATAAATTCTAAAAGAGGAATTCTAGGCCAAGACTTGAATTGGTAAGACTTAAGCATAGTGCATTTTCATGAGTATAGCTTTCCTAAGAAAATGTATAACCTTGAAGGATGGGCCTTAGGGTGATGTTCCCTTCTTGAGTGAAATGATAGACTTAGATATGAATGGAGCCGGAACGACATGAGAATCTTTATCTAAGAAAGTCAAGTGAGCTATCCTTATGAACCTAGATTGGCTATGACTAAGAAATGGGGCCTTTGTTGGGAAGAGGTACTATGAGGTGGTTGAACTAGAAAAGGAACCCTCTCTAGTACATATGTGATTGAATACTCTATGGAAACCAAGGCTAAGCATCGAGTGGATGTGGTTAGGATGGTGGCCTAGTTGAGCATGAGATTAGGCACAATGAACATCCTTGGACATCTCTTAAACCATGTGCCAACATGGGTTGCTTTCAGTTCTACCCTTGGCAAGTAGGACAACCTCCACAGAGTAGGATAGACTCAAGATTCCATACCTTGCTAGTATAGTCTTTTCGGTTAAGGCCTATTTCCATCATATGGGATGTGCACTCTAATATTGGATAGGTTCTAGAACGTGTAGGTAATAGTATGTGATGCTATCTACACATGGCACGAGTTGGCTTAGAAGATACTGAAGTGAGTTCCCTAAGCCTTAGGGCTATTATGTGATTGTCCCCTATACGTTTGTGTGTCTCCTAAATGGTTTTATAAAGAATGTTGACTTAGTATGTTATAATGTAATGATAAAACCCTTGTCTATGGTAACTTTTAGGAACACTTAGGTGTATATGAAGAGGTTGTATTGGCGGTCACTTCATTATTCACTTAAGTGTGGCTTAGGGTGACTTGTGATAGAGGCTTAAATATTAATGAAGGACTTACTTTTCTATCTTTTTTTAAGTAATGTACACTTGTGTTAATTGAGTTGTAAATGATGTGAATATGGACTTATTTGTGAATGGTGACTTGAAATGTGGGTTTATGCTTGTCATTGTAAAGGTTTGTTAAAAAAGGTCTTAAAAGCATACATTCCTTGTAAATGTCCGTTGTGCTTGTTTTCTTGCATGGTCATCATACTTAGTACTTATTGTACTAATTCCATATTTCTCTATTGTTACAAGTGTAGGTGGTTGAAAGTGAAGAGATCTTTTGAGGAAGCTTGTGATATTGACTATTCTCAAGAAGCTTGGTTTGTCCTCATATATTCGAGGACATAGTTGTTACCTTTCTAGTATTTGCACTTAGACATTGTATAAGACTTATATTTTATTGTAAAGGTTCGTGCCCCTAAGATGTTCTATTCGTGTCTAAGATGGTACATGAGACTTCGAAATTCTACTTCGTTACGTTTGAAAGATTTTATGAGTATTATGAATTTGTTTTAAAAACTGCTTAAATTCCTTACGGTTTTTATTACCGAATGCGATGAATGAATGGTAAGAGGCTTGTATTAGACCTCCGAGAGGTCGAGTACGCATGTTACGACTTGGGGGTGCTCTCGGGTCGTTACAAACTTGGTATCAGAGCATAAGGTCTTGGAAATTGTCCCTTAGGATTCAAAGTCTCATATGCCACATCTAGTAGACTCTTGTTCATCAGTGTGAATCGCGACACATCTATGAGCGAGAGGCTATAGGACGGTAGAAGTTTCACTTCTTTCATTAATCTTGATGTCGTGCCTTAGAGTTTTGCCTATGAGTATCTTTCCTAATCCGTCTCTTGAGTTTATAGGATATGAATACGCTGGCTAATCCTAGGAAAGTGGAAGAGGAGAATGTGGATGGGGGAGTTTCTCCACAAGGTCTTCAAGGTGACCAATTCCCCATAGGCAATCAAGATAATGAGCTTCCGGTGGGTCCCCCGGCCATGACTAATGAAGAGATTAGGGCGGCTTTTCTAACTCTAGCTCAAGCCACGACAACTCAAGCAAATAGAGATGTGGGGCCTAGGGTGAATGCTAATGAGAGTACGGCTGCCTCAAGGTTGAGAGACTTCGTGAGGATGAATCCTTCGATATTTTTGGGCTCTAGAATTGGAGAAGATCCCCAAGGATTCTTGGATGAGATTTACAAAATTGTGGATGCTATGGGAGTATCTTCTAGAGAGAAAGCAGAATTGGCTTCATACCAATTGAAGGAGGTGGCCCAAATTTGGTACACACAATGGAAGGAAAATAGGCCGGAGGAAGCGGTTCCTATAGAATGGGAGAAGTTTAAGGAAGCATTCTTGGGTAAATACTTTCCCCTAGAGAAGAGGGAGTGCAAAATTGAGGAGTTCATTAATCTTAGGCAAGGTAATATGAGTGTGGATGAGTATGCTTTGAAGTTCTCTATGTTGTCTAGGTATGCTCCATCTTTGGTGTCTAACTCTAGAGAGGAGATGAGTAGGTTTGTTACCGGTGTATCCGACTTGGTGAAAGAAAAGTGTCGTACGGCAATGCTCCATGGTGACATGAACATCTCTAGGCTTGTTGTGTATGCTCAATCTATTGAGGAGTCCAAGATGACTAGGGTGAGGAAAGATTTAAAAATGGGTAGGTATGAGGATCAAGGACAACCTAGGTTTAAGAAGAGGGCTCCAAATCAAGATTTTTCAAGTGCTCCTAAGGTTAATCATGAAGGAGGTGCTGGTTCTCAAATTTCTAAGCCTACTTATTCCACTTGTGGAAAGAAGCATTTTGGGAAGTGTCTATCCGACACTAGTGGTTGCTATGGTTGTGGGAAAAATGATCACAAGGTGAGAGATTGTCCTAATATTGTGGCTAAAGGAAGGAATGCTAGGCAAGCTCCTCATAGTGGTCCTAGTGTTGATGGTCAAGCAAGGAATCATTTCTATGCTCTCCAAGCTAACAAGGAAGCAAATCCGGATGAAGGTGCCGGTAAGTCATAATTTCTAGTTTTGTGTTGGTTTAGATGGGTTTCTCCTAAGTGGGGGATGGTTTGTTGAATGATGAGTTGAGGTGAGTTTGGATATTCTTGTCTCCTTCTTCTGTTCCTAATCGAGTTTGAGTCATAGAATTGTAGAAGCATGATGCATGGTTTTTGGAGTCTTGTGAAAAAAAATGAGTTTCTATATTTCTCCTTATAATGATGCATGCTTTAAATTGAGTTCTTGATTTAAATGAGAAAATCAGTGTCATGATCGTTGTTCTCCTTATATGCATAAATTGGTGAGTTCTTAAAAGTTGTTAGAGTTGATTAGTTGAGCATGCTGAAGTGTATTCTTGATGTAGCATGATTGTGTTTTAATAAGATAATTGCATATTGTGTTCTTTGATGTTGTTATGAGCATGAGGTGCTATGGAGAAGGAAATTCCTCCAAATAAATGAGAAATGGAAAAAAATAAAATAAAACAAATTTGAGGCATGTTAGGTCGTAGGTGTGATTCCTACTTCCATAAATTTGAATGAAGTTGTGTTGTAATGGCTTGTTATGTGGAGTTGATGTTTCCTCCTTGATGAGTTCTTTCATATTGATATTGTATGATTGTTGTGGGCTGCTAGTCTTGAGTTATTACCCTTAATGTTTTAAAGTGTCATTCGAGAACGAATGTTCCTAAGTGGGGGATATTGTAACAGCCCTCAAAATGAAGTAGGATAAAGTAGGGCCTCACATGGGTCCTATGCATTAATAATTTGTTAAAATAATGAATAATAGCCTTTTTAGTCAGTTTTAAAGAGTTTGGAAGTCAAACGTCAAGGGATGACCAAGACGTTCGGAAACTAGTCTTTTACGTGTTAGTGTGTTCTAGTATGTTGTTCATGTTTTTATGTGTTGTATGGAGTCTAAAATCAGTGGAGGTGACCCTAGTGGCTTAATAAATATTTTTAGGGTCAAAACGTTCGGGTACGAATCCCCGGGACCACCCTAAGGGTCCCTGAGGAGGACCCCAACCCTTGGCCAAGAAAGCTGCCAAGGCAGATTGAAGTTGTTCTTGGAGGGACTGGCTCCGTGTCACGGACCGGCTCCACCAATGGCCACAAATGGCTCCGCGTCGTGGAGACACTACGGACTCTACTGTCTCGAATTTAATTTCTAGAAAACTTGTGGGAACACCTCCCAGTCGCGAACTTGTTTCCCAACGAAATCTGTGAAAATAAAACTCAAGTTCGACTTGTTTAAAAAGTTCCAACTAAGTGAGGGGTAGTTTAATATTATTTTATGTGTTTTTAAGTATTTTAAAGGTATTAAAACATTTAAGAGGTGTTTTTGAATTCATTCTTCCAAATCAAAACCACAAAGTTCTTTCTCTCGCTAAAGTTCTCTCAAGTTCAATGAAGAAGAAGGTGGAGAGCTAGGGTTTCAATTGACGGTTCCCTTCCACCAAATTTCGTTGAGATTTCATCAATTGAGGTATGGTAGGTCTTCATCTAGGACTCATCTTCTTCCTACAGTCAATTTCAAAGGATTTTACCATGTTTTCAAAAAGTGACTAAAAGGTTGTTTTTGAATTCTATCAAGGGTTCTTGCATGAAAATGAGTTGAAACGTTGAAGTATGGATTAATTGATGTTTGTATGTGGTTTTTGAATGAAATACTACATGAACCCTTGTCTTCTACATAACCCTAAAATTTGCTATGAAGTGGGTCTATTTCTATAAATTCAAAGTTGATGGAATTATGTGTAAAGTGAATGGTATTGATATCTCTTGTGTTATTTAATGTTTATTTATGATTAATTGTTGATAATGGATGAATTAAGGGTGGTAAGCCTTATGGGTGAAGTATTGGTGATTTTGGCTATGGCTTTGGATTATGGTAAGAAGGCTTCAACTCTCTTTATTGAATTGATTGTTGTTGGTAGGTTGGATACACCTTTGGTGGAAGTGTTATATCTTATTTTTGTGTGGTATTATTGTGAATTGTAGCCATGAAGGAATTGGTGAAGTTGTTGTATAATGTGGGAATATTGCATTATTGTGAATTGAGGCCACGAAGGGCATTATATGAGTGTTATTACATTGTTGTATTATTATACACATATCAGGCTATATGTAAAGTTCTATATGAAGCTATACGTAAAGATTGTGTGAAGCTATAATGTTAAGATGTTCTAATCGTATTAATGTGATATTGTATTAAGTGTTATTATGCTAATGTGAAAGCATGCTTCTCTTGAAATGGTGAAAGGTGGTGATGATGAGTCTCTATAAGATGATGTTGTAGCACATATGATAGACTTGAGTATCTTGTCTTGTGTCATGAAAGCTTGATTATGTATATGAGTATATGAATGTTAGGTTGGACTATGACTTAGTAATGGAGATCTTCCTATAAATGCTAAAAGAGGAATTCTAGGCTAAGTCTTGAATTGGTAAGACTTAAGCATAGTGCCTTTTCATGAATCTAGCTTTCCTAAGGAAATGTATAACCTTGAAGGATGGGCCTTAGGGTGATGTTCCCTTCTTGAGTGAAATGATAGACTTAGTTATGGATGGAGCTAGAATGGCATGAGAATCCTTATCTATGAAAGTCAAGCGAGCTATTCTTATGAACCTAGATTGGCTATGACTAAGAAATGGGGCCTTTCTTGGGAAGAGGTGCTATGAGTTGGTTGAACTAGAAAAGGAACCCTCTCTAGTACATATGTGATTGAATACTCTATGGAAACCAAGGCTAAGCACCGAGTGGATGTGGTTAGGATGGTGGCCTAGTTGAGCATGAGATTAGGCACAATGAACATCCTTGGACATCTCATAAACCATGTGCCAACATGGGTTGCTTTCAGTTCTACCCTTGGCAAGTAGGACAACCTCCACGGAGTAGGATAGACTCCAGATTCCATACCTTGCTAGTATGGTCTTTGTCGGTTAAGGCCTATTTCCATCATATGGGATGTGCACTCTAATATTGGATAAGTTCTAGAACGTGTAGGAAGTAGTATGGGATGCTATCTGCACATGGCACGAGTTGGCTTAGAAGATACTAAGGTGAGTTCCCTAAGCCTTAGGGCTATTATGTGATTGTCCCCTATACGTTTGTGTGTCTCCTAAATGGTTTTATAAAGAATGTTGACTTAGTATGTTATAATGTAATGATAAAACCCTTGTCTATGGTAACTTTTATGAACACTTAGGTGTATATGAAGAGGTTGTATAGGCGGTCACTTCATTATTCACTTAAGTGTGGCTTAGGGTGACTTGAGATAGAGGCTTAAATATTAATGAAGGACTTACTTTTCTATCTTTTTTTAAGTAATGTACACTTGTGTTAATTGAGTTGTAAATGATGTGAATATGGACTTATTTGTGAATGGTGACTTGAAATGTGGGTTTATGCTTGTGGTTGTAAAGGTTTGTGAAAGAAGGTCTTAAAAGCATGCATTCCTTGTAAATATCCGTTGTGCATGTTTTCTTGCATGTTCATCATACTTAGTACTTATTGTACTAATACCATATTTCTCTATTGTTACAAGTGTAGGTGGTGGAAAGTGAAGAGATCTTTTGAGGAAGCTTGGGATATTGACTCTTCTCAAGAAGCTTGGTATGTCCTCATATATGCGAGGACATAGTTGTTACCTTTCTAGTATTTGCACTTAGACATTGTATAAGACTTATATTTTTTTGTACAGGGCCGTGCCCCTAAGATGTTCTATCCGTGTCTAAGATGGTACAAGAGACTTAGAAATTCTACTTCGTTACATTTGAAAGATTTTATGAGTATTATGAATTTGTTTTAAAAAGTTTTTAAATTCCTTACGTTTTTTATTACCGAATGCGATGAATGAATGCTAAGAGGATTGTATTAGACCTCCAAGAGGTCGAGTACGCATGTTACGACTTGGGGGTGCTCTCGGGTGATTACAGGTCACAACCCATACAATAGTCTCAAGACATGAAAATAAAATACATAAAGGAAAAATGATCAAATCCTCGATGCTATGAGGATTCACCAAGTCTTCAACTCCTTACACTTCTAGAAACCTATCTTCAAGAATGGAACTCAAAATTGCCGAACCCTACATTTGATGAGAATGTAGGCAAGAATATGAGTTAGTACAAAAGTACAAATTCTGACAGCTAGAATTACATCATAAGATCATAACATAATGGTTGGCCAACATAATACATAAGCATAAGAGGCAATAATATCATCATAAGCATAATCTCCACCATAGATATAATATGAGCATAAGTCAACATAAGCCAAAATCCAATAACATAGGAGATACCACATATTCATGAGCTTAGTGTATACTCAAATCCTCATAACATAAGATAAACTTCATAAGTAACCTTCGATTCATACTAATGTAATGCATAGATGAGACCCCATAATCCCACTAGGCTAAGTACCACTTTTAGGCCATCACATTTCTTTATCATCTTTTGATCTCATCATTAGCTTACTTCTCATAGACAAGGGAATCTCTCACATTTAGTCACACATAACAAGGAAGGCTACTATACCACAATCCTATCTAAACATACATCATATAAGAGAACATTCTCTAGGTAACCCTATGTCATACTTGTGCAATGCATGAATAATACCTCATAATCCTATCCATATTAAGTACAACTTTAGGTCCTCATACTCATACTTCTTGGTTAGGGATTAGTCCCTCTTTTAAGACATCGGAACACTATGAAAAACTTCATTAAGCATATCTTAGTTCCTTATTAGATTAAACCCCATGAGATACTTCATTGAGTATGTCTAAGTTCATTATTATCTTGAACACTATGAGATACCTTTTCAAGTATGTCTTAGTTCATTTTACGCTTGAACACTATGAGATGCCTCTCTAAGTATGTCTTAGTTCATCTTGCTTGTTAACTCTATGAGTTACTTCTTAAAGAACGTCTTAGTTCGTTAATGTTTTTGAATAATTGTAGATACCTTTTCAAGTATGTCTTAGTTCATTGGAAAAGGAGATTGTTACTAGA